TCGTTCATAATATAAGCTGGCAATGTCCACCAGAAACCAGAACATTCAAAAAGGGAAATGTAATATCCTGAAAAAACAGTCTTGCCATCAAACAGTGAGCTTCCAAATGATGAACAGAAACAAAAGGCAAATGATAAGACGACGCTATAGTTCGACCACTCTCAAAACCTACTCGTAAACAAAGTTCTAAACCAGGACCCATAGTAACCGCTATCGCATCAAGCTCGGAAACGGAAAGATTGGCTTGTTTCAAACAATCATCGATACAGCCACTGATCGCATCTTCGTGTGCATCTCGAGCTAGCGCTGGAACAACTCCTCCCCACCTGCTGTGAATATATTCTTGACCAGCTCTAGTCTCTCCCAGAATTCTTCCGCTGCTATCCACAATGGCAACTCCTGTGTCATCACAAGAAGTTTCAACTCCCAAAACAGTAAATCGCTTATTCTTCCACGGTTCCGAAACAATTATTGAACGAGCATAGTGTAGCGTTTTTGTATTGCTATTTTGATCTCTATTCAAATGCTCCTGACTCCAATCTACCGACTTTGGTAGTCCAACCAGTCGTCTAGAGTTGGCTTGTTGTGAGCAACGGACGCAGTTAAAGCACTTCCTAGGCAAGAACAACATTTTCTCCACTCTGAATATATTCTTTTGTGTCTTTGAATATTTCGAAAACTTGTCTTTCTTTCGTTTGATAGTCGGTTGGAGAAAATACTGTTCCAAATATGCTGTAACAACACCCATGATGCTACATACAAAACTTGAAAAACTGACAAGTCGATGACTTTCGTATTATCAACCTTGCACGTTGAGCAAGTCACTATACAGATAAACACCGCTTAACAATGGGTCAAGGCTCACTTACCTGATGAAACAAATTGCAATTTCCTCATCAAAACTGCAATATATATCTATATATAGTAAGTGTATATCTATTTGGTTCGAATCTTCTAACAACATGTGAAAAAGTGCTCCTCCTTCATTTATCAATGAACAGATTCCTATAATTGTCTTGTGAAAGTTACAGATATTATAAACATGATAAAGGTTCTTATACATATTTAAGCAGTAGTAGTTATTGCTTCATATTTTATGGTTCGTAATAAGGAGATATCGTTAGTTTCAAGTTACAAGGTGGAAAGTTCACTATCTGCTATTAGCTGCGACGCATCGGAAAAGTTCCTAGTTGCTGGAGGACGAGAGGTTCTTCGCTTATTTAGTATCGAAAACAATATCCTAAAAGAAGTTCGTAATCTTCGATCCTCAAGAAGGAAGGGTCTAAAATACTCCATCAATGATATTCGCTGGCATAAGCTACCAGGTTACGGCAGTCTTGTATTGAGTGGTTCCACCGATGGCTCTTTGGTCTTGTGGGATTTAGCAGTGGACGTTGAAACTGCCAATGTCTCTACTTCGTCTATGTCTTTTTCGTATTCTTCCCTTTCTTCTCGTAAAAAGCCAACAGAACCTCGATTTATTACTGCACATGAAAGGGCTATCAATAAGGTGGATTGGCACAACACCATATCGTACAGCTTTTTGTCCTCTTCACAAGATGGAAGCATAAGGTTATGGGACTTGCGTGAATTTGGCAAGAATAATATTCCATTGATAAATCTATGCTATAGTAAAAGTGATCCTGTCAGAGACGCATCTTTCTCACCACATTTTCCATATTGGATAGGCGGTGGCTATGAGTCTGGAAGTTTTTTACTATGGGATATACGTAAACCAGATCTTCACCTTCTCAGCATTCGTGCTCACAGTGGTCTCCTATTTTCAGTATCCTGGCATCCCGATAAGGAAAATGTTCTAGCAACTGGTGGACGTGATAAAATTATCCGAGTGTGGGATTTGAGTCAAGATGGACGTACAACAGAAACACAGAGCTCCTTGGATGTGAGCAAGGAACAAAAACGTTCGACCAACTTGTTGGATAAAGTTTCATTTTCAGGTTGGCAAGAAATCTTTTCTCTCTCAACCATAGCAGCCATCTCTAAAGTTTCTTGGAGACCGGGATATGAAGAACAAATGGCATCAGCATCATCTGTTCTTGATACAAGAATATCTATTTGGGATATTCATCGTCCCTACTTGCCAGTGATTTCGTTACGTGGACATCGCGATACAGTTTCGTGTCTCTTGTGGGAGTCCAGTGGAAATTTGCTTTTTTCTTGTTCCAAAAATGGCGCCATAATTATTCAACAGGTTGATAAAGGCTATCAGCCCTATTCACATTTGCGTAATAATGTGTTTGCGCTTTCTACTCACAACTCCATCGCATATTCTACTTATTCTCGAGCAACTAAGGAGAATTTGACGAGACCTTTTAGTCAAAGCCTGATTTATATTTGGAAACAAGATGAATCCGAGAATTGGAGACTAAAGATGTTGTACAAAGATAGTTATTCTCCTGTCGGTGGAGGTATTGGTCTTGATGAAAGTATACTCCGACAAGTTTGTTACGTAGTATCTCCATTTTTACGAAGCAAACCCAAACGAGATTCTTCATCATGGGAATGGCGGATTTCCATTTGTAAGGAATTGATATCTTTATATACAAGTGTAGAACTGTCTCACCATGAATTTATCTGGAATGCTTTTTATGAATTCATCCAGTACCTTTCAGGACAAGGAACTTCCTACATAAAACATTGTATGTACACTCGTGTCCAGGCGTTGTTTGACTCAATTGTTGTCAAATGGTGGCAGTATCTTTCTGATATAGGTGATGTTCAAACCTGTTCGTTGATATTGATATTGTGTTGGGACCTTGTACAGCCTTCGATCAAGTCGTTGCTCGATGGAGCTCAAGGAACTGTTGCAACCTATGTTGATATTTTGAGAAGAATGGAAATGCATGTCGCTGCAACAGAAGTACAAAATGCTGTACCGTTTCCAGAAATATGTCAGTGGAACAGTTCCAATACGACCATTGAAGATTCTAGAACGACAAGTTTTCCATTGTGCAGTTTTTGCCATCGTCAAGTGAGAGGACTGTATAGCTGGTGTCAGGGATGTGGTCACGGTGCACATACAAAATGTTTAATCACCTGGTTTGTTGGAAGCGACTTGGTAAGAAAAGGGACATATCGAGAACAGTTTACCTGCATTCGTCCCATATGCCCAGTCCCTTCATGTCAACATCGATGTATATACCACCCAAATCATATTGTATAAGTTGTATGTAAAACTTGAACAACGCTTATTTTATTGCTGCGCGGTTCTAATCACTAATAGTAACCTCGGTTTGTACTTCCGAGTCGAATCCATATGCCGTCACTTGCTTCACTACGTCTGCCGTTGCGAATATGTCCACGACTCGTTTATATATTCTGAGCTCGAAGCGATCCCAGGTATTGGTCCCCTCTCCACAAGGAGATTTTCTCGTCGTAATTCTCAGTATTTTCCTCGGCATTCGAACAGGTCCTCTGACTCGCAAGCCATTCATTTTACCTCTTTGGACAAGTTCTTGGCATACTGTATTCCCAACTTAGTTTTCCCAATAATTATTTTCGTGAAACACTAACCTCCTTCCACTGCTTTTAAGTTCTTACTCGTTAAAGTGATACGGATTCTCTTTGGTGTTTCTGTGGACTCTAATCCAACCTTTTTCGTAGCTGGTGGTGCAGCTACTGTAGTCATATCGACAAACAACAGTACTCTTGAATTCACAAACCAAGCAATCGGACGACGACGAAAATGGCCTGGGTATTTCAGATCGATATTTAATGATATGACATATGAAGACACTATATATATATATATATCCATTCCATTTTTAGGGAAATGGATATTCTATGGCATCTATCCAACAACAGTGAAAGGAATATAAAATATTCAATGAATAAGAGACAACGAGAAAAGGACTACCCAGTCATTGTTGAACTGTTAGATGGCCACTTGGAGTCACTTCCTCTATCAATCAGCATTCCAATAAGAAAAGGAATTATCCATTGCATTGAGACAAGCGAAATGTGTGTTTCATTTCTGAAAGTTGTTCGACGGAGACTGGTTATTTCATTGCTCTTTATCCCATCACAGAAACCAATTCATCTTGTGCAGATCAATCTCCTTCTCTTTATCCTTGACTTTTGGTAATTGTGTTTGTCGTTGGAGGAGATGTGTTCAGTCTACACAGCATCTTTTTTGTCTTCTCCTACCTTTGTACTGACAGCTTTGGCTAGTAATAAGCAACGTCATTCATGTGTCTCTTTTGAACACTCTTCTCGCTGCTGCTGCTTCCACTCGTTCTTCCAGAAGAATTCCTTACTTTTTCATTCTAAACGGAGACACTATATTCTGATTTTCCGTAGAGAGTTTTGTTACAATGAAAAACTGTTTACAACTTGTTGTGTGCAAAATTCTATCGACGAAGATTCCAACGTTAACTTCGACAAACAGCAGTTGCCATTGGATACTTATGATTTCACACGAGTAGAAAGCAAATGGCAACATTATTGGGAAAAGAACAAGACTTTCCAAGTTCCGATCCATGTTGACACTTCTAAACCGAAGTATTACGTACTGGATATGTTTCCATATCCTTCTGGTGCCGGACTCCACGTTGGTCACCCTGAAGGATACACTGCCACAGATATTATTGCTAGGTTTAAGCGAATGCAAGGCTATCAAGTCTTGCATCCTATTGGTTTTGATGCATTTGGTTTACCAGCAGAACAATATGCGATGCAAACCGGAACTCATCCAGCTATCACAACGGAACGCAACAAGGAACGATTTCGACAACAGTTGAAAATGCTCGGTTTTTCTTACGACTGGTCACGTGAAATCAGTACTACTGATCCAAAATATTATCGATGGACTCAATGGATATTTTTGAAACTCCTCGAAAGAGGTTTGGCTTATCAAGATGAAGTGGAAGTAAGTTGGTGTCCTGCTTTGGGAACCGTATTATCGAATGAAGAAGTGATCGATGGCAAGTCAGAACGTGGTGGCTATCCTGTTATAAAGAAACCAATGCGTCAATGGTTATTAAGAATTACTGCTTATGCTGATCGGTTATTAGACGATTTAGATGGCTTGGATTGGCCTGAAAACATCAAGGAGATGCAAAGAAACTGGATAGGTCGATCACAAGGTTTGGAATTGGAATTTCCAATTTATCGAGAAGAGAATGTTGAACAATTATCATCAACTCCCATTTGCGCATTTACAACTCGACCGGAAACTATTTTGGGAGTTACGTATATCGTTATTGCACCGGAATATCCTCAATTGGAACTAATATGTAATCCTACTCATTTATCCAAAGTGCTTGAATATCGACAACAATGTCTTCAAAAGTCCGAATGGGACCGTAAAATAGATACCAAGAAAAGTGGAGTATTTACTGGAAGTTTTGCAGTTCATCCGTTGACAAAGAACTACATTCCTATATGGGTTTCTGATTATGTATTGGCATCCTATGGGACTGGAGCGATAATGGCTGTGCCTGCACATGATGAAAGAGATTATGAATTTGCTGTACAATATCATTTACCTATTCATCAAGTTATCGTTTCGGATCATGAAGATGGACTTCCTATACTAGGTGAAGGTAAAATATGTCACTGGAATGATACTTTTGGTATTTCATTGGATGGCAAAACTTGTGCAGAAGCTAGAAAGTTGTTGATGGAAATTTTAGAAGAACAAGGATTGGCAAAGAGGAAGACTTATTACAAGTACGTTGCTTAATGCTGTGTATGGTCGATCATTGAAAATATTTTTATCTATACATTCATTTGTGATAGGATTCGAGACTGGCTATTTTCACGTCAACGTTATTGGGGAGAACCTTTTCCCATCGTATTTGTAAATGGACAAATGGTTCCTTTATCAGAAGATCAACTTCCAGTTCTCTTACCTGAAACTGATTCCATTCAACCAGCAGGAAACGGAGAATCTCCCTTGGCCAATATTGAAGATTGGTTATACATCGATTATGATGGACAAGTTGCTCGTCGAGAGACCAATACGATGCCACAATGGGCAGGCTCTTGTTGGTAAGTAAAATAGTTATGGTTCTCTATTGTACAAGTAAAATTTTTGTGTCAAGGTATTATTTGCGTTATATCGATCCCTTGAACGATACTGGAATAGTGGATCCTACATTGGAAAAATATTGGATGCCCGTAGATTTATATGTTGGAGGAGTGGAACATGCGGTACTTCATTTGCTCTATGCCCGGTTTTGGCACAAAGTGCTGTATGACTTGGGTGTTGTATCCACATCGGAACCTTTTCAACGTTTAGTCAACCAAGGAATGATATTGGGTGAAACTGAATATTCATTGTTTCGAGTAAAAAATGGAGAGCCATACAATGGTGAAAAAGAAGAAGGACGATGGATTTCTGCTTCAGATGTCGACTTATCTTCCCATTGTTTGAAAACGGATCGAAACATATCGGTAGAGGAAGTTCGCATTTCATCGGATCAAGTAGAAAAATCAGGTGATAACTTTGTATGGAAACAGAATCCCTCCATTCAGGTATTTTCAAAAGCACATAAAATGTCCAAAAGCAGAGGCAATGTAGTAAATCCGGATGACATGATACGACAGTTTGGTGCTGATACGCTTCGTCTTTATTTGATGTTTATGGGACCTTTGGAACAGGTAACTCAAACGCACACAAGGTTCGGATAACAATCATATTGAGATAGCTTTTAGGTAAAACCATGGAGTACAAACAATGTTTATGGTGTTTATCGTTTTCTACAACGAGTATGGAGACTGTTTGTTCCTCTCATGCAATCTTCCATGAATGAGCATAGAGAACCCAGTTTTGAACAATATAAAGCTCTTCATGAAACTATCCAAAAGGTGACTCAAGATACTGAAGCACTCCGTTTCAATACAGCTATATCCAGTATGATGCAATTTGTGAATATCGCTATGAAATGGACTTATCGACCTAGAGCTATATTGGAACCTTTTGTTCTATTATTGGCGCCTTATGCTCCACATATTGCCGAAGAAATATGGGAACAAATAGGATCGAGTCGAGGTACTATTGCAGATGTACCTTGGCCTGTATGGAAAGAGAAATATTTGGTTGAACAAGAGATAGAAATGGTTATTCAAGTGAATGGAAAAGTAAGACATGCCATGAAAGTGAACAAAGATATTCATGAAGCTGAGCTTATCCCGATGGCAATGAAACAAGTACAAAAATATATTCAAGGGAAAGAAGTGAAAAGGAAGATTTATATTCCCAACAAGACG